AACCCAAAGAGGCCCACACCAAGACACATCATAATTAAAATGCAGAAGGTTAAAGACAGGGAATCTTAAAAGCAGCAAGAGAAAGACAATTAGTTACCTACAAAGAAGCTCCCATAAGATTGTCAGCTAATTTCAACAGAAACTGCAGACCAGAAGGGATTGGCACAAAGTATTTAAAGTGATGAAAAACAAGGACCTACAACCAAGATTATTCTCCCCAGCAAAACTGTAATTTAGAATCGAAGGACAGATAGAGCTTCACAGACAAGAAAAAGTTAAGGAGTTCATCACCACCAAACCAGTATTAGATGAAATATTAAAGGGTCTTGTTTAAAAAGAAGAAAAAAAGATAAATATCGAAAGAAAATGGCAACAAATATATATCTGGCAACAATTAAATCTTAACAAAATAACAAGCAGAACAGAAATACACTGATAGATACAGAGGACATTTTGACAGTTCAAAATGGGAGAGGGGTTAGGGGGAAGGAGTGTGAAAAAGGTGAAGGTATTCAGAAGTCCAAATTGGTTTTTATGGAATAGTCATGGAGATACAAAGTACAGTTTAGGGAATATAGACAATAATATTCTAATAACTTGTCATGGTTGTGAGATTTATTGGATGATCACTTATTAAGTTATGTAATGTCTAATCACTGGGCTGTATACCTGAAACTAATACAATTATGTCAACTGTAATTGAAAAATAAAAATAACTTTGAAATGGGGGGGGGAAGAAAGGACAATAACAAATATTTTCAAGGATGTGGAGAAATTGGAACTCTCTTACACTACTTGTGGGAATGGCAAATGGTTCAGCCACTGTGCAAAACAGTCTATCATTTCTTCAGAAGTAAACATAGAGTTCCATATGTCTCAGCAGTTCCACTCAATATTCAAGAAAATTAAACCCAGTCTACACAAAAATGTGTACATGAATGTCCATAGCAACATAGCCAAAAAGTAGTAACAACCCAAATGCTCATCTTTTGCTGAATGAATAAACAAAATGTGGTATATCCATACAATAAAAAGAATAAAATACTGATGCTAGAACATGGATGAACCTTGAAAACAATATGCTAAGTTTAAAAATATCAGTCAAAAAGGACCTTGTAGTGTAACTCCATTAATATGAAATGTCTAGAATAGGCAAATCTAGAGACACAGACTGGAAACTACTTAGAGCTGTGGTAATTGGCAGAGAACTGAGGAGTGACTGGTAATCAATGAAGGTTTTCTTTTGGAGATGAGGAAAGTGTCTGGAATTAGTTAGCGGTGACAGTTGTGCAACTCTGAATATATTAAAAATCACTAATGCCCTAACCGGTTTGGCTCAGTGGATAGAGCGTCAGCCTGTGGACTCAAGGGTCCCAGGTTCGATTCCGGTCAAGGGCATGTACCTTGGTTGTGGGCACATCCCCAGTGGGGGGTGTGCAGGAGGCAGCTGATGGATGTTTCTCTCTCATTGATGTTTCTAACTCTCTATCCCTCTCCCTTCCTCTCTGTAAAATATCAATAAAATATACTTTTTTGAGACCCCAGAAATCAACCCAAACCACTATTCCCAATTAATATTCGACAAAGGAGGCAAGAGCATACAATGGAGTCAAGACAGTCTCTTCAATAAATGGTGCTGGGAAAATTGGACAGATACATGCAAAAAGATGAAACTAGACCACCAACTCACACCATACACAAAAATAAACTCAAAATGGATAAAAGACTTAAACGTAAGACTGGAAACCATAAAAATACTAGAGGAATCCACAGGCAGCGAAACCGCAAACATATGCCGAAGGAATTTCTTCTCTGATAATGCTCCTAGGGCAATGGAAACTAAAGAGAAAATAAACAAATGGGACTACATCAAAATAAAAAGCTTTTGCACAGCAAAGGAAACCATCAACAAAACAACAAGAAGACCCACTACATGGGAGAACATATTTGCCAATGATACCACCGATAAGGGTTTAATTTCCAACATTTACAGGGATCTCATGAAACTTAACAAAAGGAAGATAAACAATCCAATAAAAAAATGGGCAACAGACCTAGATAGACACTTTTCGAAAGAGGACATACAGAAGGCCGAAAGACATATGAAAACATGCTCAAAGTCACTAATTATACGAGAGATGCAAATCAAAACGACAATGCGTTATCATCTCACACCTGTCAGAATGGCTATCATCAACAAATCAACAAACAACAAGTGTTGGAGAGGATGTGGAGAAAAAGGAACCCTTCTGCACTGCTGGTGGGAATGCAGACTGGTGCAGCCACTGTGGAGAACAGTATGGAGCTACCTCAAAAAACTAAAAATGGAACTCCCATTTGACCCAGTGATCCCACTTCTAGGAATATATCCCAAGAAACCAGAAACGCCAATCAGAAAGGATATATGCACCCCTATGTTCATAGCAGCACAATTCATCATAGCTAAGATTTGGAAACAGCCTAAGTGCCCATCAGCAGATGAGTGGATTAGAAAACTGTGGTACATATACACAATGGAATACTATGCTGCGGTAAAAAAAAATGGAACTCTTGCCTTTTGCAACAGCATGGATGGAACTGGAGAGCATTATGCTAAGTGAAATAAGCCAGTCAGAGAAAGATAAATACCACATGATCTCACTCATTTGTGGATTATAGAGAACAACATAGACTGATGAAAAGGGACATACCCAAAGACTGAGAAACAGCGATCAGGCTATCAATCCCCAGAAGGAAAGTAGGGGAGGGTGGGGGTAAGGGGAAGAGATCAACCGAGGGACTTGTATACATGTATATAAGCCAAACCATGGACATGGACAGCAGGGGGATGGGAGCATGAGTGTGCGGGGCTGGGGGGGGGGGGGAGGTTGGGGGTTAATTGGGGGGGATGAGGACACATTTGTAAGACCTTAACTAATAATAATAAAAAATATATATATATATTTTTTAAAAATCACTAATTATATCTTCTACAAGGGTGAATTATATCTCAATATAACTTATTTGAAAATTTTTTTGCTAATCCTCACCTGAGGATATTTTTTTCCATTACTTTTCAGAGAGAGTGGGAGGGAAAAATGGAGGGGGTAGAGAAAGAAAGAGAAACATTGATGTGAGAGAGATACATTGACTGGTTGCCTCGTGCACGCATTGTGACCAGGGCAGGGAGAGAACCTGCAACCCCGGTACGTGCTCTTGACCAGGAATCAAACCCAAGATCCTTCAATGTGCAGGCCAATGCTCTAATCACTGAGCAACACTGGCCAGGGCAAAACTGATTAAAGTTTAAATTTTTTTTTAGAGAGAATTCAGGGAACTGATGGAGGGGAGAGAGAAAGAGGAAGAAAGAGAAAGAGAAACATTGCTGTGAGAGAGACACTATTGGTTTCCTCTCGCATGCACCCCAACAGGGCCAGGAATTGAAACTTCAATCCAGATGTGCCCTTGATCAGCAATCGAACCCATGACCCTTGGGTGCATGGGCTGATGCTCTAACCACTAAGCACACCACCAGGGCTAAAGTTTGTGTGTTTTTAAGGACAGTTTTTTAAAACATTTTTTATTGATTTGAAAGAGAAAGTGGGGGAGAGAGAGAGAGAGAGAAACATCAATGATGAGAGAGAATCATTGATTGGCTGCCTCCTGCACACCCCCTACTGGGGTGGGGGTGGAGATCGAGCCCAGGCATGTGCCCTTGGCCCTAATCGAACCTGGGACCCTTTAGTCCACAGGCTGATGCTTTATCCACTGAGCCAAACCAGCTAGGGCTAAAATTTTAATTTTAAAAAAGACAGGAAAGAAATTGAAACAGTATATTTTTTATATGACAGCTAAAGTAAGTACTTAATGTTTCAAGTTAATTGTTGGTATTATTTTTTACAAGCATTAAAATAAAGCTTATTTTTTTGTAATAAAAAACATTACACTAATATAGATATAAGACCCCTCATAATCATCCACCACTACCCACATTTCCTTCCTTTTGTTCCAGTTTGCTTCCTTTTCAGGAAGATAATTTAATTTGTTAGCAAGAATAAATTTGAATCCTGAGAAGCTCATCTGATGTGGTCAGTTAGCATATTTTCTGATTTACTTGATTTTGTTGTCCCATAAGTAGTGGTACTGGTGGACACCTTCTTTATGAGAAAATAGCTGCTTTTTGAGTGACGGTCTGTCAGTGGGCTGTGTTATGCTTATATTAAAGACATAGTATTCTTTCTTGTATGTCAACCTGTTTTTAATTATTATTATTGAATTGAGAGAGAGAGAGAGAGAGAGAGAGAGAAACATTGATATGAGAGAAACATCAATCTGTTGTCTCTTATACGAACCCTGACTGGGGATTGAACCCAAAACCTGAGCATGTGCCTTGACCAGGAATCGAATCCTTGACCTTTTGGTGCAGGGGACGACACTCCACCAACTGAGCCACACTGGCCCCGGCTTTTTTTTTTTTTTTATAAGTGTTTTTTTGGCTGGCTTTCAGGGCTAAGCAAGAACTTATAAAGTAGGGTTCTGAATTGTTGCCTTTAACCTAAGAAACAGCACTTGTGCAAACCCTTACTGAGTGCTTGTGAATCAGTAGTTTCTAATAGTTTCTATTTATCTTTTACACGGGAACAATTAAGTTCCAGCCCTAGCCAGTTTGGCTCAGTAGATAGAGCGTTGACCGGCGGACTGAAGGGTCCCGGGTTCAACTCTGGTCAAGGGCATGTACCTTGGTTGCAGACTCCTCCCTGGCCTGGCCCTGGTCAGGGTGCGCGCAGGAGACACCCAGTCGGTGTGTTTCTCTCACATCGATATTTCTCTGTCTTTCCCTCTCTTCCACTCTCTCTAAAAATCAGTGGAAAAATATCCTCGGGTGAGGATTAAAAAAAAAAGAACAGTTAAATTCCAATAAATACCTAAATCATACACACACAGATATGTGCTATAGTGGAGGAGGAGGTGGTTTTGGGACACCTTTAACAATTTTTTTAAAAAATATTTATTTATTTCAGATATTTTTATACCTATGCCGGAGAACTTATTAGTAAATTTAAATGAAAGTAAAGAGGTAAGACACATTTTCCTATCCAACATGTTTAATTGCAATATTGAAGGAATATATTTTTTAAATAAATATTAAGTAAAATTTTGCTTCTTTCTGTGACATTTCTAATATGTGTAGCATTTTATATTTTGATATTAGTTAAAATTTGTCAAAAGAACTACTCTTGACTTTGCCTTTGAACTGATTGCTTTTAAGTCTAATGTAGCAAGTTATTTGTAGTTGGGTAGAAGATGAGCCTATTCCATTAAGGAGGAAAACCTGAAGGAAACCTGCCTTGCCAGCCACTTGGGAAATCGGGAGGGTTGCTGAGATAAGCTTCTGGTCACTACACAGAAGCACTTTAGTTAGGCTGCTTTCAGTGCCCTGTGCTTTTCTGATTCACAGAGTGTCATTGGGGTCAGTGCAGAAGAAACACTTATTACCTGCCTGGAAATTGCCATGACATAATACAGTGAGAGGTGAACAGAATGTGTCTGAAGGGGGGATGTTGTCTACCCTGTATATGCATATATGCCGTAGGGGTAACATTTTAACTAGCAAGTCTATGGTCTCAGCTGTTGGCAATGGTGACTTCGCCATAGTGCGATATATTTTTTCCTATTAACTCTCCCTATTTGTACATCCTAACCTAAATAGGTAGTTGTTTTTCATTTTGTTTTTCTTTTTTTGTGATTATTACTAGTTGGCAAATTTACTAAATATCGTAGATTTTGCAGTAGGGAAAAGTTAAACTCATTTTGGAACTAAAAAGAATACAGTGTGTAGAGGTGATTGAGAAGGCCATATTTCATGGCATTAAAAGAAATCAAATCTCTAAACTGTGATGGCTCTTTTGGATACATTTTGGACTTATAGTCTTGCTGGACTACTTGCATGTGCAAGAACTGTAAGGCCGCAATTTTTATTTGTCTTGCTTGCCAATTTATAATGTTTATTTAAAATGACTTTCTTGTTATTTGACCTACTTCATTGTTTACTGTACTGTCTGTAGATTCTCTGACCATCATCATGACTCAGTGTTTTGTCTATTGTATTAGTTACTGGCTTTTGTAAAAAAATATTTTTCAATTGTAACACTCTTGAGTTTTCTTGCTTTATTTCACAAGCTTGTCCAAGATTTACTGAAAAGTTTGCCACAAATGTTCGCCAAGACTCTGGAGACCCAGAGTGCCTTGGGTCCTGCACTTCAGGCTGCCTTTAAGCTGATGTCCCCAACTGGTGGTCGAATGTCTGTCTTTCAAACACAACTCCCAAATCTTGGAGTAGGAGCCCTGAAACCACGAGAGGAACCCAACCAAAGGTCATCTGCTAAGGTTAGAAGGTCATCAAATCTATGATAAGATTTATATTGGTGTTCTGTCTCTGATCATAGAGCTTGTTTTTTTTAATTTATATTTCAGTTGTGGAGAGTAGGGAATATGAGAAAATAGGTAAAGTGTTTCTTTCTTATATAGACTTTTCTGTTTTATTACATTACTAGAGGCCCGGTGCACAAATTCGTGCACCAGTGGGTCCCTCGGCCTGGCCTGTGGGATCAGGCCAAAACTGGCTCTCCGACACCCCCTAAGGGGTCCCAGATTGCGAGAGAGCACAGGCCAGGCCAAGGTACCCCACCGGTGCATGATCAGGACCGGGGAGAGACATGGGAGGTTGGCCAGCCGGGGAGGGACCACGGGAGGGCTCCAGGGTGTGTCCAGCCCATCTCACTCAGTCCCAACCCGCTGGACCCCAGCAGCAAGCTAACCTATTGGTCAGAGTGCCTGCCTCCTGGTGATCAGTGCACGTCATAGCGAGCGGTAGAGCAACCTTAGCATATCATTAGCATATTAGGCTTTTACTATATAGGATTTTCTACCTGATTCACTCTTACCTTATTTTTAGATCTTTAGCATGCCATTAGCAATGCAGCCTGCCTTTAATGAGAAAGGCAGACTAAGAGAATAAACTTGCTAGGGACAAAGTAGAACCTGAGTGATCAGTAAAAAATGCTCATAGTTTGGTATGTTGACTGCTATGCATTACTTTTGAGCATCTTATATTTATAAACGTAGTTTGAGATATATGTTTCTCAAAAAGATTATGAGAAGTCATATGCTGTAATGATAATGGTGTTGGTCCTGGAGTCAGTCTAAGTTCCACTGCTTTTTAGATGCATGAGCTTGAATAGTTATTTAATTTCTTTGCCCCTTGTTGCCTTTATATTTATAAAAAGAAAATAATGATAGTACCCATCTCTTATGGTAGTTAAAAGGGCTAAATAGGTATTACATATGAATTTTTAGAAGCATTTCCAGTATACTATTTAATAGATTATTGAAATTAGTATGATAGTTTTCTTTTAAAGTCAAACAAAAGAAAAAATTCTTAAGTAGAAGATGTTTCTTATTGAAAAATTACAAATATTCTCAAGCCAATGGATTTTGTTAATATCTTGGTATGTATAGATAGAAATTTAATTATAAAATAAAGAAATTTAAATTCCAATAAATTATTATTATTATTGATTTCAGAGAGAGGAAGGGAAAGGGAGAGAGAGAGAGAAACATCAATGATGAGAGAGAATCATCGATAGGCTGTCTCCTACATGCCCCCACTGGGTATCAAACCTGAAACGCGGTATGTTCCTTGATCAGAATCGAACTGTGATCTCCTGGTTCATTGGTAGATGCTCAACCGCTGAGCCACAGTAGCCAGGCTAGAAATTTAAATTTTATGACAGTTTTTTTTGGTAAGAGAACATTTATTTGGTAAATCACAGGAATAGAAGAGTTAATTCCTAGAAGAAATGGGTTTAGGAAACAAGTTATGCAGGTAAAGGAAGGGCCCTTGGAGCTTGGGAGTGAAGAAGCTAATGGTGCCTGGGGCAAGGAGGGAAAGGAAAAGGGAAAGGCATGGCATGCTCCCAGGAGGGAAAGTGCCTAAATTTTATAACAATTTAATGATTTAAAATTTTTTCTCCTTTTAATTTATTATTAATAGGAAATTCACTTGACACCATCCACTGACTTCTATAAGAAATTAGCTTTGGACTGTTCTGGTCAGCAGGTCGCTGTTGACTTATTCCTTCTCAGTGGACAGTATTCTGATTTGGCTTCTTTGGGTAAGTTTTCCCTAATGATTATTTTTCTCAAATGAGTGTCAAAATGATATTTATATAATGATATTCTAAATAGGAGACAAAGTGAAAGAATTTTTTTTTTAATATATTTTATTGATTTTTTACAGAGAGGAAGGGAGAGAGATAGTTAGAAACATCGATGAAAGGGAAACATCGATCAGCTGCCTCCTGCATATCTCCTACTGAGGATGTGCCCACAACCCAGGTACATGCCCTTGACCGGAATCGAACCCGGGACCTTTCAGTCCACAGGCCAACGCTCTATCCACTGAGCCAAACCGGTTTCGGCAAAGTGAAAGGAATTTAATGTCCTTGGGAGAGTTAGTCAGGTTGGTCCAGTGGTCGGCAAACCATGGCTTGCGAGCCACATGCAGCTCTTTGGCCCCTTGAGTGTGGCTCTTCCACAAAATACCACGTGTGGGCACACGTACAGTGCAACTGAAACTTCGTGGCCCATGTGCAGAAGTCGGTTTTCGGCCTGGGCGAGTCTATTTTGAAGAAGTGGCGTTAGAAGAATTGGGGATACGTTCGCTGAGGTTGACCCCTCAGATTGAGGACATTTTTAGCAAAGGCCAGCTTAGGAGTACCCTAATTAAGTTAATAACAATGTACCTACCTATATAGTTTAAGTTTAAAAAATTTGGCTCTCAGAAGAAATTTCAATCGTTGATATTTGGCTCTGTTGACTAATGAGTTTGCCGACCACTGGGTTAGTCTATTATAAACCCTACTAGAGGCCCAGTGCACAAAATTTGTGCACTTGGGGGGAGGGCCTCAGCCCAGATTGCGAGAGGGCGCAGGTCAGGCCAAGGGACCCCACCAGTGCACAGTTGGGGCTGGGGAGGGACGTGGGAGGTTGGCCAGCTGGTGAAGGACCACGGAGGGCTCCAGGGCGTGTCCAGCCCATCTTGCTCAGTCCCAATCAGCCAGACCCCAGCAGCAAGCTAACCTACCGGTCAGAGCGTCTGCCCCCTGGTGGTCAGTGCACATCATAGCGTATGGTTGAACGGTATTAGCATATTACACTTTGATTGGTTGAATGGCCAACCAGACGGCTGGACACTTAACATATTAGGCTTTTACTATATAGGATAGTCTTCTATTTTAAAAATTTATAATAGAGAAATTTATATGCTACTATTTAAAAGAATGAAATATTCCTTTTTAAAAAAATATTTTTTTATTGATTTCAGAGAGGAAGGGAGAAAGAGATAGAAACATCAATGATGAGAGAGAATCAATGATCGGCTGCCTCCTGCACACCCTCTACTAGGGATTAAGCCCACAACCAGGGCATATGTGCCCTTGACCACAAGCGAACCTGGGGACCTTTAGTCCACAGACCAATGCTCTATCCACTGAGCCAAACCACTTAGGGCAAAATATTCTTTTTTGACGGTACCTGGAGAGGTTAAAGGAAAATTAATTCAAATGCCTGTAGTTACTTTGGTGTGGTAATGGTAGTCAACAGCAGAATTTAAAAGGAGTGTGTGTTTTCTTTCAGGTTGTATTTCTCGGTATTCAGCAGGTAGTGTCTATTATTATCCCTCTTACCACCATCAGCACAACCCAGTACAAGTACAGAAATTACAGAAGGAGCTACACAGATACCTCACTCGGAAGATTGGTTTTGAGGCAGTCATGAGGATTCGGTGCACCAAAGGTGGGGGCACTATTTTTTTGTATTTACGTAGGAGTAAATGTTTCTTATGATACTATATATATATATATATATATATATATATATATATATATATAGTCTTATCTCAAAATTTGCTCTTCTAAGATATTTTACTTAATCTGATGGAATATGCAATTAAGAGTAAGAAGGAACATATGTTTTTTTAAAGGGACTATTTTGAATATACTAAAAATCACTGGATAGTACACTTGAAAAGGGTGATTTTTACTGTATATGAGTTATATCTCAATGGAAAAAGATTATAATTCCAAAGAACATAAAATATATTATTTATGGATTTTTTAAAATATATATTTTTATTGATTTCAGAGAGGAAGGGAAAGAGATAGAAACATCAATGATGAGAGAGAATCATCAACTGGCTACCTCCTGCACACCCCCTACTGGGGATTGAGCCCAAAACCCAGGCATGTGCCCTTGAATGGAATCAAACCCGAGACCCTTCAGTCCACAGGCTGATGCTCTATCCACTGAGCCAAACCAGCTGGGCCTAATGTTTATGTTCTATCCCATTCATTCAAGATCGATGGACCTACAAAATGGTTTCTGCAGATTTTGCCTATAAGTTACTAGAAATGTGTATCCCAAAGGTGCTTTTAAAACTTTTTCTATTTGTCAGGACAGAAGCTATTTTATGTGTACCTAATTTTGCGTAAGAGTAAAAAAGCTTGCCAACAAACCAGCAGTTTGCCTTCTTTTCTTTTCTTTTCTTTTCTTTTTTTAAAAATATATTTTATTGATTTTTCACAGAGAGGAAGGGAGAAGGATAGAGTTAGAAACATCAATGAGAGAGAAACATCGATCAGCTGCCTCCTGCACACTCCCTACTGGGGATGTGCCCGCAACCAAGGTACATGCCCTTGGCCGGAATCAAACCTGGGACCCTTCAGTCCGCAGGCCAATGCTCTATCCACTAAGCCAAACCGGCTAGGGCACTTTTTTTTGTTTTGTTTTGTTTTGTTTTGTTAATCTTCACCTGAGAATATATTTTCCATTGATTTATTTTTTATATTTTTATGTTAATCCTCAACCGAGGATATTTTTTCATTGATTTTTCAGAGAGAGTGGAAGGGAGGGGGAGAGACAGAGAAAGAGAAACATTCACGTGAGAGAGTCACATTGGTTGCCTCCTGCATGGCCCAGAGCAGGGCCAGGGATTGAGCCTGCAACTGAGGTACATGCCCTTGACCAGAATCAAAGCCAGGACCCTTCAATCCGCAGGCCAAAATGCTCTATCCACTGAGCCAAACCAGCTAGGGTTCCATTGATTTTTAAAGAGAGTGTTGGGGGAGAAAGGAGAAAAACATGGATGTGTCACATTGATTGGTTGCCTCCCACACATAAACCTGCAACCCTAAATGGGAATTGAACCCGATACTTTGGCATATCGGGAAGATGCTCTAACTGAGCTAATCTGCTAGGGCTGATTTATCTCATTCTTTTAAACTTGTAATAGTATTTAGTACAAATACTGAATGTACAAATCATAGTTTGGTTATTTTACTACAGATTGGCATTGAGGATATTTCTAATTTTTTAGTTATTACAGACAAAAACAGTACTGCTTAATTTTTTTGGCACATATCATTTGGTATTTGAATGAGTGTATCTGTAGGATAAATTCTTAGATATGGGATTACTAGGGTCAAAGGACATATTCATTTAGAATTTTTGGTGGATATTGCAAATATATCCTTCAACAAAGTTTTTTGAAAATTTGAGTCTTCACCTTCATTTAAGAAGATATCTCACCCTCACTAAATACTGTGTATTATCTAATACTAGAGGCCCGGTGCATGACATTAGTGCACTGGGAGTGGGGGATCCCTCAGCTTGGCTTGCACCCTCTCGCAGTTTGGGATCCCTCTTGCAGTCTGGGGCTCTCACAGTCCGGGACCCCTCACTCACTCTTGCATTGTGCGTCTGCCCGCCCCACCCCCACCCCCCCCCGTGGTCAGTGTGCATCATAGCGACTGGTCGTTCCGCCATTCAGTCTATTTGCATATTAGCCTTTTATTATATAGGATAGGATCATTCTGTTCCAAATTCCAGGGTATAGGTTGCTTTTCTCCACACTTCCAAGTAATTAACTCAATCCTGACACTATCTACCTGGAGATAGAATCAGATTTCACAGGTTAAACCCCCCAGGCCCCCAATCCCCTCGTCGTAATACACACATACACTTTAGAAACTAATTTCAAGTTCAGGGTGTTGCCTGTGCTTCTGCCTGACTGGCTATAGATTGGAAGTTTCAACAACCCCCTCCATGGGTTCCATTAATTTGCTAGAACGGTTTAAAGAACTCAGACATATTTTACTCGTTAGATTACTGATTTATTATAAAAGGATATAACTCAGAAACAGCAAGATGGAAGATCTGCAGAGGCAAGGTATAGGGAAAGGGAAAGGGTATGAAGCTTTTGAAGCTCCAATAAGTACTCCACCCTCCCTAAATCTCCAAATGTTCACCAACCTAGAAACTCTCCAAACCCCCCATTCTTTTGGGTTTTTATGGAAGCTTCATTACATAGTCATGATTAATTAAATTATTGGCTATTGGTGATTGATTCGACCTCCAGCCTTTCTACCCTCCCTGGATGTGTCTTGAGGGAGGGGGTTGGACTGAAAGTTCCAACCCTCTAATCACATCATTGGTTCCTCTGGCAACCAACCCCCTTCCTTAGATTACCTAGGCACTTTCTAAAAATCACCTCATTAACATAGCAATAGATATCTTTTATACTCTCATTACTTGGGAAATTTTGAGGGTTTTCGGAGCTCTGTGCCAGAAATCTTTGAAGACCAAATATATATTTCTTTTATAAATCTTTTATAAATCTAAACTTTAATTTACTCTCTGCTAATCTGATAAGTGACTAGGGTAAGATGTAAATACCCATATGTAGGTGTATATAAATAATATTTTATAAATTTTTTTTCTAGGTCTTTCCATTCATACTTTCCATGGGAACTTCTTTGTTCGGTCAACAGACTTACTGTCTTTGCCCAATGTAAATCCAGATGCTGGATATGCAGTACAGATGTCAGTGGAAGAGAGTCTTACTGACACTCAGTTGGTTTCCTTTCAGTCAGCACTTTTGTATACGTCCAGCAAAGGTGAGTATTGTGGCCAAAAGCACATAACATGAGATCTACCCTCTTAACAAATTTTTACGTGTACAACCCAGTATTATTAACTGTAAGAACAATGTAACAAAGGTAAGTTTTTTTATTTGGTCATGTATTCTCTGCTTTTGATAACTTCCTCTTTGGAAGTAATTACTCATTTCTATTAAGCCAAAACAATATCCCTTATCTTAAGAGTTTTGTTGCTGTTTCTGGTAAAGTGAAAATGTTTGGTATTTATTTTTCTTAACCATTTTATTTAATAGGCATTTATTTAGAGTCTACTTGATGTCAGGCACTGAAATATGTTCTGATGACAAAACAGTCAATAAAACTCAGTCAGGGCATATTCCCAGGTTTCCCGCTCAATCCCTGGTAGGGAGCGTGTAAGAGGCAGCCAATCAATGAATCTCTCTCATCATTGATGTTTCTCTCTCTCCCCCTCTCCCTTCCTCTCTGAAATTAATAAAAATATATTTTTTTAAAAAGACCAGAAGAAAAAAATAAATAAATAAAATAAAACTTTAGAGTTTTCACATTAACATTAAAATTTTTGATACTGTCCTCTACTTACTATTTAACCCTATTTGGTTTTAAATTGAAAAGAAGTGATTTTAGTATAAACTTTTAAAAATATTTTTAATTGATTTTTCGAGAGAGAGGAAGGGGGAGGGAAAGAGAAACATTGATATGAGAGTGAAACATCAATCAGCCTCCTCCCCCACATCCCACACCGGGAATCTAGCCTGCAACCCATGCATGTGCCCCAATTCCTGGCCAGGGCAATAGAACCTTTTTTAATGTAGTTGTCTCTTACTATCACTTTTGTGTTTTCTCCAAAGGTGAAAGAAGAATTCGTGTTCATACTTTGTGTTTGCCAGTAGTTTCAAATCTGAATGAAGTCTTTCTTGGAGCTGATGTTCAAGCAATTTCAGGGCTATTGGCCAATATGGGTAAGAATTATTATCACCTATTGTAAATATTTTGCAGGTATAATAACATTAGAAAAACCCACATTCAATGATGAGAGAGAATCATTGATCGGCTGCTTTCTGCATGTCCCCTACTGGGGACCAAGTCCACAACCCGGGCATGTTCCCTTGACCGGAATCGAACTTGGGATCCTTCCGTTCACAGGCTGATGTTCTATCCACTGAGCCAAACTGGCTAGGGCTAGTTTTATCCTTTTGTTGTTGTTGTTAATCCTCACCTGAGGATATTTTTTCTGTGATTTTTTTTTTTTTAAATATATTTTATTGATTTATTACAGAGAGGAAGGGAGAGAGATAGAGAGTTAGAAACATTGATGAGCGAGAAACATCAATCAGCTGCCTCCTGCACATCTCCCACTGGGGATGTGCCCGCAATCCAGGTACATGCCCTTGACCGGAATCGAACCCGGGACCCTTCAGTCCGCAGGCCGACGCTCTATCCACTGAGCCAAACCGGTTTCGGCTTTTCTGTGATTTTTAGAGAGAGTGGAATGGAGGTGAGGAGGGGGAGAGAGAGGAGAGAGGAAGAGAGAGAGAGAGAGAGAGAGAGAAAGAAACATCTATGTGAGAGAGAGATATCTGTTGGTTGCCTCCCACATGCTGGGAATCAAACCTGCAAACCAAGCATGTGTCCTTTACTGGGAATCACACCTGGCACCCTCCTGTGCACAGGCCGACACTCTAACCATTGAGCCATTCAGGCCAGGTCTCTAACCATTGAGCATTCAGTTTTGTCTTCATTTAAATAATTAGCTTTAAGGGTTTCAGTATTTTGGATTCTATGTATACCTGCTAAATCACTATTTGAATAAAGGATCTGCTCAGATAGCCTTATCTTTTAAATTTAAAAAGCTTTATTGAGATACTAGAGGCCCAGGGCACAGATTCATGCACCGGTGGAGTTCCTCAGCCTGGCCTGTGCCCTCTCGCAATCCAGGACCTCTCTGGGGATGTCGGGTAGCCTATCAGCCCGAACCCTGCAGACCCAATCCAGACAGGAGGGAGCCCTATCCTGTGTGTTGAGTGTCCCCTGGTGGTCAGTGCACGTCATAGCGACTGGTTGACTGGTCGTCTGGTGGTTCGGTCATTCGGTCACTTAGACTTTTAGATAGATAGATGATAGATAGATAGATAGATAGATAGATAGATAGATAGATAGATAGATAGATGATAGATAATTTATATACCCTATCACTCAACCCATTTTAAGTGTACAATTCCTTTGTTTTTAGTATATTTACAGAGTTGTGTGACTATCACCTCAATCTAATTTTAAAATATTTCTATTACCCCCAAACGAATGTCATGCCCATTAACAGTTTTTTGCCCACTTTTTCCTCCTTACCTCATTGGCCTTAGGCAACACTAAATTGCTTTCTGTCTCATAATCAGCCTACTATGGACTTAAGTAACCATTTTTTTACTTAATGCTTAATATTAGTAGTTAATAGCTTTATTATGAGCCTGTAACTTGGATTACAGTAAGATCATTAGACTTGGAGTCATAGAATTTGGGATTGCAAACCAGTTAACTATCAGATATAAGTTTGCAGCCATGGCCAGATTCCATGGGCTAACAGAAAATTTATTAATATCTTCACATCAGTTGCCTCCTTGACGGTTTTTTTTGTTGTTTTGTTTGTTTGTTTTGTTTTTGGTCTCTTTCTCAAACACATAGAGCTAAACAGCATTTTAGTTCCTGTTCTTGTTCTCCTTCAGGGAAGACTGCTAGTGGGGGTTCATTTGCTTCAAACTCAAATTTGCCTATAGTTGGGATATTTACCCATTTTCTTTAATGTCTGACTGGGAATATTTTTCTTTAATGGAGTCTGGTGTAGGTTCGAACCACACATTAGTCTTCCCATAGGTTGTTAAAAGTTAAAGATTATGATGAAAGAAATTTGAAGGTTGCTGCCTTTATTTTTTGTTGAAGCAGTACTTTTTTTTCTTTTATATAAACTGTCAATACTTTTTTTTTTTAATTGAAGATCTAATTGGCTTTATTTGTTTATTTATGTGTTTAGTTGTTTTTTAATCCTTACCCGAGGACATGCTTCATTGATTTTCTTTTCTTTTTCATGTTTTATGTTTTGTTAATCTTTATTGTTGAAAGTATTACATATGTACCCTTTTTTTCCCCATTGACCCCTTCTAGCCTGCCCCCGCCCCCTGCCCCAGGCCTTCACCACATGATTGTCTGTGTCCCTGGGTTATGCATATATGAGTACACATTGATTTTCTTAGAGAGAGAGAGAGAGAGAAACATTGATGTGGGAGAGAAATGTCTATCGGTTGCCTCCCATATGCAGCCTGATTGGGAATCGACCCCACAACCTTCTTTTCATGGTACATAGAATGACGCTCCCACCTATCCAGCCCCCAAACCAGGGTGAACTAATGCTTTTGGGTAACAGTATGATTATTATCTTTATTATTATTATCATCAACAACTAACTATATGTCAGGCAGTACTGTGGATTATTTTTTAAAAGTCTTCACAACAGCCCTAGCCAGTTTGGCTCAGTGGATAGAGTGTGGGCCTGGGGACTAAAGGGTCCCGGGTTCGATTCCAGTCAAGGGCACATGCCCAGGTTGTAGGCTCGATCCCAAGTAGGGGGTGTGCAGAAGGCAGCCAATCAGTGATTCACTCTCATCATTGATGTTTCTATCTCTCTCTCCCTCTTCCTTCCTCTCTGAAATCAATAAAAATATTAAAAATTAAAAATAAAAGTCTTCACAACAATTTTCTTCACTGCTACTAAATTTGGTTGATTCCAGTATGCACATTTTTTCACATTTTATCAAAATCTTTATATTAAAATGTCTTAAACTGATAAAGTCTTAGAGTTACTGTTGAGCAGATAGCAATAGTCTTCATTTTTTTCTTGTGTACAAATTTGGTCATAGATGTTAATAACATTACTTAATTGGGTATATTTTTGGTACCACATGCATTGAGTTTAGTTGTAGTTTGAGAGGCTTTCTTCTATTCATTAAAGAGCTCTTAGAGAATTACTTTCATTATCTGTCATGCTACTCTGTTTATATGTATAGTGCTTTCAGCATTGAAAAAAGTGTTTTGAGTATACAGGATGCATACTATACATATTTCCCTCTCTTAACTCTATCAATCAGTCGAAACTTACTTTTTTTATTCTGTGAGGTAGTTAAACTTCTGCTTTATTTTTCTCTTGTCCCTACCCCCATCTCTATAAGCTGTTGACAGGTCTGTGACTGCCAGTCTGAGTGATGCTCGGGATGCCCTAGTGAATGCCGTCATAGACTCTCTCTCAGCTTACCGTTCTTCAGTCCTAAGTAACCACCAGCCCGGACTCATGGTTCCTTTTTCGTTGCGGCTTTTTCCACTCTTTGTGTTGGCTCTCCTTAAACAGGTAAGAGAATCAAAACCAGAAACTACCGCAGTGAAAATGTCAAAGGCAAAATTTTTATCCTGTGATCCCCTAAACAGTGTATATATAACTTTATGCCAGCTAAATTTTCTGACAGCAAGGACCATAGCTCTTAACACTGACAGACCACATTTTGTTTATTATTTACTTCTCTCTTACTATGATTTTTGTCCATGAGGACACAATTTTTATATATTTTTTTAAAATATATTTTATTGATTTTTTACAGAGAGGAAGGGAGAGAGATAGAGAGTTAGAAACATCGATGAGAGAGAAACATCGATCAGCTGCCTCCTGCACACTCCCTACTGGGTATGTGCTCACAACCAAGGTACATGCCCTTGACCGGAATCGAACCCGGGACCCTTGAGCCTGCAGGCTGATGCTCTATCCACTGAGCCAAACTGGTCAGGGCCAATTTTTATATTTTTTGTTCACCACTTTGTCCCAGCACCTACAACAGTTCCTAGTACACAGTAGGCATTCAGTAAGTATTTTTTTGAGTGAATAAATGGAACTTTCCTTCTTCCATTCCCCGTAGTACTCTTTCTTCTTTCCTAGTGACTATTCACTTACCAATTTAAAATATCTTAACATTTAAAAGTCTTTGTTTATTTATAGTCAATGCACTTGTTTTGAGGCATAATTTAATTACTGTTACCTCTCTGCCTCTTTCTACTCCTTTCCATCACTAGGAAAGCTTAAAACGTTACCTCAAAACTTCATTATTCTCCATGAAGCTAATATGCCAGTTAAAAACTCACAATTACTCATTAACTCTATTCTGCTAAGTAGTTGCTCTCATTTGTGTTATTCTTCTTCCTGGTTGATACGTAAGCTTTGTACATTGTTTAATTTCTCTTAACTGTGGGAGAAACAAAGATGGTTAGATACCATTAATCATCACCCTGCATTTATAGAACACTTAGATCTTTGCTTCTTCAAATGTACATTTAGTTTGTCATCTGTAGTATAACTTTATCCTTCTATGGTGACATTTGTTTCTATCTCATTATCACTATGTGGTAGATAGAGTGTTTAGGTCTATTTCACTGATTAGGAAACAGACACCAGAGAGATCAAATTACTTTGCCAAGGTTAGGTAATTAATTTCTGAAGACTTACAGGTGGTGATATAGCCATAATTTAGCCATAGTCACAATATGCGTGACTTGTTAAAAGATATTTTTCAGAAAATAATTAATAGCAAACTTTCTAATTTTCTCTGAAGATATTCTTTTAACAACTGATATTTACAAAGTTTTATATGTATTTTTAAATACTTTTTTTTGGTGGCGGTGGTTTTTTGTTAACAGAAATCATTCCAGACTGGGACAAATGCACGTCTAGATGAACGCATTTTTGCTATGTGTCAAGTGAAAAACCAGCCCTTGGTTTACCTTATGCTCACAACTCATCCCAATTTGTATAGAGTTGACAATCTTTCAGATGAGGTAAGATTACTTCATTTTTTAAGTGGCTTTTATTTGCAGGTTTATAAACCTAATTATATTCAGTACATTGCAGAAATGAGGAAAGGTTTTTTTATTTTTTAAGCTTTTTATTTTATTCCTTTGGTAGGTCTGTGAAAATAAATTTTGGTTTTGGAGACTTCCTGAAAATAGTGCCTTTATTTAAGTTGCCTAAGACAAATCTCCAGAGCAGATCTAAATAAATGAAGAGATTGTCAGATTGACCGGAGAAACCTATGAGTTATTTATTTAAACAAATTGATCTGAAAGGAGTATTCTAAGAATCAAAATAACATCTAAATACTCAGGTCAATGTTTAGTGTAACAGTGTTCTTAAATTAAAGAAAATATATTTATCTGAAGTTGTAACATTTTTGTCCTTGATAGGAAATTTACCTGAGTTAAAGTTCCAAGTATCTAAGTGTTAAATCGTAATCTTTCTTTTGAAAATTGTGATCAAGTTAGGATATATATGTTGGAAGTAATATTTTGGTTAAAACCTTTCAAAGTTTAAAGAAGTTAAGATATCTTGCATATAGAAAGGAGAAATTGCCTATGAAATTTGAGTTAATTTTAGCAAATGAAAACTATTGAGCCAGCCACAGAGGCTCAGTAGTTGAGTGTATGCTGGTTTGTTTGTTTATCCTCACCCCAGGATACTTTTTCCTTTGATTTTCTTTAAAGAGAAAATGGAAGGGAGGGAGGAGTGGGGGAAAGAAAGGGAAATATCAATGTGAGAGAGACACATCAATTGGTTGCCTCGATCAGGACTGGGCATCCAGCCTGCAACTGAGGCATGTGCCTCCCAACTGGGAATCGAACCCACGACCCTTTGGTCTATAGGCCAACACTCTAACCACTGAGAAAAATCAGCCAGGGCTGTTGTAACAAGTGATAAATATTTTGTTATTTTTTTAAATATGAATAATTATATTTAAAAATTTTTGGTCAATTGTGACTCCATATTACCTGTATCTAACAGCTTTATTTTTGTGTTTAATTCCTCAGGGAGCACTCAACATCAATGATCGAACTATACCTCAGCCGCCTATTCTTCAGCTTTCAGTGGAGAAGCTGAGCAGGGATGGAGCTTTTCTCATGGATGCAGGCTCTGTGAGTAGCTGACTGATTCAGATCCTTCTGTCTGCATATTACCATACCTTCATTCCCCTTAATATCTTTCTTCTTGAACAGATTATATGCTATTTAATTTATATATTTTTTTATTAGCCACCTTCTCCCTCCATAGCATCCTTTTATACAAAGCATAAAATGTCTCATCTTGGTAAATATTAATTATTATTAGTTCAGTTGAGGGCTATACAGTATCATTAAACTTACTAATCATTTTGACCTTTTAAAATATACTCAAAGGTAAAGGTAAGTCAACAACTCACTCCTTTTTTTTTTTAATATATTTTTATTGATTTCAGAGTGGAAGGAAGAGGGAGAGATAGAAGAGAATTATTGATCAGCTGCCTCCTGCACGCCCCCCACTGGGGATCGAGCCCACAACCCAGGCATGTGCCCTTGACCGGAATCGAACCTGAGACCCTTTAGTCTGCAGGCTGACGCTCTATCCACCGAGCCAAACAGGCTCAGGCTCACTCCTTTTTTTTATTGTATTTATTGGTGTGACATTGGTTAAAAAAATTATGTTTTCAGATATACAGTTCTACAATATATCATCTGTACAGAGTGGAGCAAAAATAGGCTTACAGTTCATATAGAAAATAATACAATAGTCAATAAAATACAAGAATAAACTGTGGAGAAAAAAAAGAATAAACTGTGTTTTGCGTATTCACAACTGTAAACCTACTTTTACACCACCCTGTATATTGTATCGTGTGTTTACCACCCCAAGTCAAGTCTCCTTCCATCAACATTTATCCCTCCTTTACCCTCTTCTGCCTCCCCCCACTCCTTAACAGCTTACTCTTAGGCTACATCTCAAAATGATTTTCCTCCTATCCCCAGGTACTGATGCTTTGGATTGGAAAGAATTGTGGACAGAATTTTCTCAGCCAAGTTCTAGGAGTTCAAAGCTATGCATCAATTCCACAGACTATGGTAAGACTGTCTTATAGTGATTGGAATAGTCTTTAAAGGGCATTTCAAATGTGGCAAAACATGAATAGCCCATTTTAAAATCATGGCATACTAAATTTTTTTTCCAAAAAAGAAAATATCCCCACAGATTCTCTTCCAATTGAAAATACTCAATTTATGTTTTAAAGGTATTTTTAAAAATGTTTTTATTGATTTCAGAGAGGGAGAAGGACAGAGAGATAGAAACATCAATGATGAGAGAGAATCATCAATCAGCAGCCTCCTGTGCGCCCCCTTCTGGAGATCGAGCTCAAAACCCGGGCTTGTGCCCTGACCGGGAATTAAACTTTGACCTCCCGGTCATGGGTTGACCCTCAACCATTGAGCCACACTGGATGGGCTCAAAGGCATTTTTTAGGTTATTTTGTATCATTGACTTATCTTTTTTAAAAATATTTTTATTGATTTCAGAGAGGAAGGGAGAGGGAGAGATAGAAACATCAATTATAAGAGAGAGAATCATTGATCCGCTGCTTCCTGCACGCCCCCCACTGGAGATTGAGCCCACAACCTGGCATGTGCCCTTGACTGGAATCAAACCCGGGACCCCTCAGTCCGCAGGCTGATGCTCTATCCACTGAGCCAAACCGGCTAGGGCTGACTTATCTTTTTTAAAGAATTTTTCTATTTCTCAATTACAGCTGACATACAATATTACATTAATTTCAGGTGTACAGCATAGTGATTAGACGCTTACATAACTTACAAATTGATCACCCTGATGGCTTATCTATTCTTGTCTGTCTGAGAGTATACTATTTTTTCAGAAAGTAATGAACTTAGTTGATGGCACAGAAACAACAAAAAAGTGTTATGGGCACATAATTTCATTGTTCTTTGGCAGGATTCTTTTAATTGCTGCTTTGGAGTAAGAACTAAGCTAATTGCCATGTAAGCAAATGACTTGTGATCAGTGTCTGTTGGATTACTATTGGTTATTGAAGAGAGTAATAATGGACTGTCACTAGCTCTGTGACCTTGGACAAGTAACTAACAGCCTCATTTGTTGCTCATGGAAGTGTAATTGAGATGATTCATGAGAAAGCATTTGTTAAACTGTATTGCATTTGGATAGTTTTATATTGAAAAGAGATAATTAGCCCTGGCCGGTTTTGCTCAGTGGATAGAGCGGCCTGCGGACTAAAGGGTCCCAGGTTCGATTCCAGTTAAGGGCATGTACTTTGGTTGCGGGCACATTCCCAATAGGGGTGTGCAGGAGGCAGCTGATGGATGTTTCTCTCTCATCGATGTTTCTAACTCTCTATCCCTCTCCCTTCCTCTCTGTAAAAAATCAATAAAATATATTTTTTTAAAAAGAAAAGAAAGAATTATAACATGGTCTTATTTAATGTCATATTTTTTGGTCCCTATCATTTTGTCAGCAACTTTGGAAGATGTGCTTTATGTCAGCATTTTTTCATGTTTATGGTTTAACTCCATTCACAGAAGTTAGTACGAGATTCTTGTATTTAAAAACATGTGAGGATTATAGCTAGGATTAGCACTAGCTTTCAGACTTTGAGTAAAACTACTGGTCTGAATGATTAGATATTTTAATGAGGAGATAAGAAATTGTTGCATCTGTGACAAATGCCTAATGAATCAATTCATTCTAAATGTCATAATAAAATGAAGAGAAGAGTTAGGGTGTTCTTCTACATAAGGGCTAAGCAAAGTATGCCTAAGGGGGTCTGCCACCAATAAAGTATTATTGGAACATAGCTATGTTCATTCACTATGTATTGTCTATGGCAACTTTAATGGAAAAATGGCAGAGTTGAATAGTTGCAATAGAGACTAAATGACCTGCAAACCTAAAGTATGTACTGTCTGGCTCTTCAAGAAGTTTGCCCACCCCTTACAAGGAAATTGTGGTATGCAGAATCTCAGGCCCCTCCCCAGACCTCCTAAATCAATATCTGCAGTTCAGCAAGACCACCAGGTGATTCATATACAGCCGTCCCCCATTTACCTATGGTTTTGCTCTCTGCAATTTCAGTTAGCCACTGTCAAACACGGTCTGAAAATATTAAATAGAAAGTTCCAGAAATACACAATTTATAAGTTTTAAATTGTGTGTTGTTCTGAGTCGTGTGATGAAATCCCACACCATCCCTCTCTGTTGCCAGAGATGTGAATCATCCTTTTTCCAGTGTAACCACACTATACACCACCTGCCCATTAGTCATTTGGCAACTGTATCAATTATCAGATTAACTGTCCAGGTTTCAGAGTGCTTGTGTTCAAGTAGCTCATTATTTTACTTAGTAATGACCCCAAAATGCAAGGGCAGTGATGCTGGAAATTTGGATATGCCAAAAATAGCCGTAAAGTGCTTACTTTAAGTGAAAAGGTATGTATGTATGTATGTATAGGAAAAACATAGGGTTCAGTACTATCCATGATTTCAGGCATCAACTAGAGGTCTTGGAATGTATCTTCCATGGGTGAGGGGGGCACTACTGTACATGATAAAGTTTGAGAATCACTATAGATGATACATTAGATATGATTAGAGTAAGTGGGATAATGTTGGTCTTTGTTTAACAGACAGACCTTCCGGACCTTGATACCCCAGAATCTGCCAGAACAATAGCTTTCATATCTTGGCTTAGAGAACAAAGACCATTTTTCCCAATACTTTATATAATAAGGTAAGTTGAATCTTTCATTTGCTAATATGAACCAGTTTATTTGGCCTTGTAAGTACTTGTTTTGACATATATATATATCCTATTCCTTAAGCAAACCATTTAGAAGAATCTATCTATCCTATATAATAAAACCCTAATATGCAAATCGACTGAATGGCGGAACGACCAGCCAGAAGCCAGGCTCATGGCTGGCGAATGCAGTGGCTGTACGGGGAGCCTCTCCTGCCTCCACGGTAGCACTAAGGACCCGTTGAGGGATGTCCGCCTGCTGGCTTAGGCCCACTCCGCGGGGATCAGGCTCCCTCCTGTCTGGATTGGGCCTGCAAGGATTGGGGCGAAACTGGCTATCCAACATCCCCTGAGGGGGTCCCGGATTGTGAGAGGGCCCAGGCCAGGCTGACGGACTCCACTAGTGCATGAATCCATGCACCGGGCCTCTAGTATAAAAAAAAAGAGTTTCAAACATTACTAAATGATACTTTGTTAGTTATTAATAAAATGTATGTCAAAAGCTTTGTGACAAATCCGGTGTTTATTTTACTATTACATTTTATCTAATGTATATAAATATTTTTCTTTTATTCCTAAGGGATGAGAGTCCAATGAAAGCAAATTTCCTTCAAAACATGGTAGAAGACAGAACAGAATCTGCATTTTCATATTATGAATTCCTCTTGCATATACAACAGCAAGTGAATAAATGAACCAGTGAAGATATTTGACTCAGTTATTTCTAAGGAAAGTCACAATAATGCAGAACACCTGAGAATGTGTAATACCTTCCTTTCTATTAGGTTTGTGGACTGATGTGATGATTATATGTTCTCACTGTGATTTCAACAAACTATAGCAAATAAAGGACCACAGCAGAGAATCAAACATGCAACTCTGAAATACTGTATTTTTCAAATCAAAATATATCTGCATATGATTAGACACCTTTTTTCTTTGCTGCCAATTATGTTTGAGTTGTTATGGATTGAAATAAGATGAGACAATATTGCAGAGGCAAAGTAAATTTTGTAAAATAAAGACTTCTGTGTTCCAAATATATATTTCTCTCTTTTTTTTTTTTTCCTGAATTTTTGGCTGCTACATTTAAAACCTCACAAGACTAAGTGTTGCAGGGAAATTATAAATCCGTTGATAATGATCTTCCTTAAATTAAAAAAAAAATTTTTCATAAGTAAATAGTATATAGAAAGACTAGAATCCATTCCCCCATACCTATTTTTTAACTAAACTAAAACTAGAGTAAACTAACTCTGGTCTAGCTTAAGAAGAAAAAATAACTGTCACGCTTTAAAATCTGTCAGTATTCTCTATACTTGAACAAAATCACCTTGATTTTAAATGAAAACTAAGTCATTTTCTGATTGACTGCAAAAGACTTGGACACACTATCTTCTGCAGTGGAAAGAATCTGAGCTGTCTTCATTAAATACGTGGGGACTGGCAATGATAGTAGGGAGATGATCCTTTGAGTGGGTTTTGTTTGTCTGCTCTGTGAAATGTAATAAAGGTGTTATAATTGGTGAAATGAATATGAATGAAATCAAAGTATTCTTAAATGCTGTCTCAAATGCATCAGGATCATTTTTCTAAGGAGTTTAATAATTAAATTGAAAGCCGCTCATAAGATGTTTATTCTTGGATAGTAAACCTTATTAAAGCATGAATGCTGCTGTTTGATTTGATGGATATTAAGATTACACATAACCAGTATATTGAAGTTTAAGAGAAACTTGATTTCTGAACATGCTCAAGAGACTGTTTTTTTGATTCAGCCAGATAAATACTATAGTCAAAACCATTAAGTGAATTTTGTTTACAAATAGGTAAATTATACATTTGTATATTTAAAGTGCTGTGATAGAATATCTTAAAAGAGTTTGGCCCAGTTTTCCCAATTCATCTTGTCTTGTATGAACTTCTTAAAGACGTTCATGTGTAATACTTGATGAAAAGATTTTTGTTTCTTTGTTTTAATGGGTTAGAAAAATGTGTTTACAATCTTGGTCTCATATGATCACCAATACAATAATAACTATCAGGTTTACAGCAATATGAGCTGACTTTAACTGAGTTGTTTTGGGATAGGGAAGAAGCAAGTCCCACTAGAGTATACACTACTGTTTATCAGCCGGACAAGAATAATTGTTTGTGTTTTATAAAGATATCATCTCCCTTAAGCAGTGTTATAGTTTATTTTCAGTATGCAAGTGGTACATTGAACTGGAAATATTTTTGAAAGCTGCTTCATTTATTAGGAAGCAATTTTCAAAGTGTAGCAAATTAAAATAAATTTATATTTTCCCTCTTTTAAAGAAACTGAGTCATTATTATGCACTGATGTTTCTTAACTAAAATTCTCTTCTTAATGTGAATTTTAAATGTTGATATTTGTAAGTCCTTTCTTAATTATTGTAAAGAATCTTACAGAGGGAAAAGTTTGTGCTCCTAGGGACAATAATCTTTCTTGTGCCTCACTTTATCCCTAAGTGGGTATGGCTGTTGTTACTACTACATGCTTTGTTAATATATTTCACAAATTTGCTTTTCAAAATTTACTTTAAAAACTTATTTTAGATATTGTGTAACATGTGCAATCTAGAATAATTTTATAATAGTCAAGTCATAAAAAACGTAACTTTAGTTAGGATTCACATTATTTGTTCTCTGGAAAATGAGGCAATGATTGAACCTTTTGGAGATATTGATAATTAAGAATTATTTTTTGCAATATTGAACATGGTGGGGGTGTTTTTTTGTTTTTTTTGTTTTGCAGTAGGGCACTTATCTCATCTTGTATTTTTTATGTAAAGCAACTAATATTTACACTATGCCATATTTTTTTTATCATAGTTGTAAATTATGAAAGATCCTTGAATTTTCTACAGATCTACAACTACTAAAGTGACAAAGGGCAATCTTGGTATTTAAATCTGAGCATGGCAATTATACCATAAAAAAGTACTCTATTTTTCTAATTTCTAGGATTTTTAAAATAACATTTCTGTAAGTCTGACATTAATATTCACTCAAGCTGTACCATTTATTTTAGTTTGCATATATTTCATTGTTTTAATTTAATGTATTGTCTAATAGACTGTTTTATAATAATTAGAATAAAAGATTTATTCTAATCAAAGATGCAAAACAGCTATTATCTAGGGGACCACCAAATGTGATTTCAAGATTTTGTTAACTATTACAAATATAATCCTTATATAGAAATTTTAATTTTGTAAAGTAGTGTATAATATTGTAACATTAAATTCTTGTTCTCAAATTCAAATATGTGTTATCTTCAACGTGCTGTGTTAAATCTTGTTTCTCTAAAATGTTAGAGACAAGATTTGTCTTCCTTTTTACAGTTTGTAATTTTCACTGTTTTATTCCTGTAAAAAAAAAAAGTCATTTGTAACCCATGCAATCGTTTGAACTGTGCTAATTTAATCAATTTGGCTATTCAATAAAGTTAATTGAAAGAGCTTACATATAGTGACTAGTTATTTAAAGTAATTTGAATAATTTGTCAGTCACCGAGTAGTGCTATGTTGTGCATCAAAGTTAGTGGAAAACTATTGCTGAAGATGTTTTAAATTTAAGTCACTGTCTGGGAGGTTATAAACCAAATTCTTGATGCTCCTCAAGGTAGCTAATTGAAAGGTTTTTTTTCCTATTCTAAATACTACTCCATTTGACTTCTGGATCCTGTTGTTACTAATAAGCTGCTTACTGCCAAATGTTGTTTGAGGATAATGTTAGCTTTTAATACTTTTCTTTTATTCTTTTTTTTTAACAAGAGACATATACAGCTTTATTTAATAATCTGTAAAAAGACGTCCTCCAGCAGAGTGGCGCATTCCCTATCTTGGCAGAAAGCGAATACTGCGACGAGAAAGCCCCTTCCTAAGATTTGGAATTGTGTCGCCCTTTGTTTTCATCTCGATGCTCTCGATAGCTGGGCCCTGACTGTGTGGCAGCTGGTTTCACCCTCCACCCAGCGATACTCACACAGTACTAGACTGAACACAGTGTTACCTGGACAGGCTGCCCTTACAGACTGACCCCTTCCCTCCTACAAAAGAGAGTTCACAGAATTAAGAATCTTCCTGAGAAATGAGTCCTATCTCAACTTCACTTAGCTTCCATTAAATTTGCTGCAAAAAAAGGCTATACTTATTAAATAGGATATTATGTTAGTGCCAGTTCCTCTTCCCACTGCCATTTCCTCACCACCTACATAATTTTCAGGCCATCCCTCTCCCTTTTTGGAGGATGGAGAGTGTTTCGCCATCTCTCCATCACAGGCTGGAGGCATTGCTTGCAGATGTCTGGTAGTAGTATCAGACAGTTTTGCTCCAGCAGAATGAATGCCTGGCATTTTGTTTCCAACCTTCCTGTTTAATAGAGTCCAATACTTTAGCCATGCCCACTCCTTGGGAACTACTCCATGTTGCACCAGAACCTCATTATTCATGGGCTTCTAACAGTACATATCCCCCCTTTATTTATAGAATAGTGTATGAAAATTCACGTGGACAGGAGAAGGTCGCTGGGCACCCTGCCTGCTTCTCTGTGTAATAGGCTCCCTTCTACTGGTCATAATCAGTCAAGAGTCCAAACAGTGATTATGATCTTCCACATTCCTCAGAGCTGCTCTCTTCAGAAGTCACCTTGCAAATCTTGTGGACCAATTTGGAACCAAAAGAGAATGTAGTAACCTACCCCATCTAGAAAGCTGTTCTGTATATTTCCCCTAAAAACACCATTGAAAATGCAAAAAAACCTGTAATAATCTGAACAATAAAGATTTAATTTAAAAAAAGATTATAAGAACAATATATTCTGAAAAGAAAATGCAAAAAAAAAGGTCCCTTTTTTGTTTGTTTTCTTGTTTTGCAGAAGCTCTACAAGAAAGCATGTCTAAAACCACAGATCTATGCACACACAAACACAGACACACGTGCTCACACACATATGTCAGGATACAAGTATCTTATCAGATATGTAGTTGAGAAAGCATGGAGAAAAGCTGGCAAGAGAAGATATGGAGATTTGATCAGTTAAAGATGTTGGACTGTTACAGTAATGGCATGGAAGTGGTTCCTGGTACATACAAAAAGGGGCGTGGGCAGGCAGAGAATGATAAATCCAGGATACCAGAGAGAAAGAGTCAGTGGTCATGCAGGAGTAAAGATAGATGCCGGTTTGCTGGAAATGTTATATTGTGGAGTGGTCATTTGAGGAGGATGGACTTGCATGGTCCAAGGAAGGAGCATCTGCTTAGCAGGACACCTCCATGGTCTGGTGTCTGTCCAGGACAGAGGTCCTCAAACTTTTTAAACAGGGGGCCAGTTCACTGTCCCTCAGACATTCCACACATGCGCACTGCGGGCCCAGGAGGAGTCGGCTGCTAAGCAGGACAGGCAGCGGCGGCCAAAACACCCGGCCAGATAAATGTTTTCGGCGGGCCGCATGTGGCCCACGGGCCGTAGTTTGAGGACCCCTGGTCCAGAACATCAGGGGACTCAGAGGATTCTTGAGTTCCATCTGACTGATTGCTGGTGACAGACTAGCTGAAGGCACTTTCTCCAGAGCTGATACTACTTGAGGTTGAGTGGGTTCATGATCAGACGAGCCAGGTCATGCTGGCAGATGGTATGCAAAAAGTACTTGAAGGCCTCAGTGAGCTTCCCGGGCTGAACTACTTGGGGCAGTACACCACAGTCTGCCATCTTTAGCAAAGTTGTATTTATAGGATTCAGGCGAGAATTGCATTCAACCACAGCCTCAAGTACGGGTGAACTGTCCCCTACCACCAATAAAGTGGAACACTTTAAAGTCTTTGATTTGTTATCATTTTGGCCCAGCATGGGTCTTTCAATCTCCAGGTCTCTGCGTCCGTTATAAGAACACAGGAAGATGCCCAGCCGGTGTGGCTCAGTGGTTGAGCATCGACCTATGAACCAGGAGGTCACAGGTTCGATTCCTGGTCAGGGTACATGCCGGGGTTGCAGGCTCAATCCCCAGTAACGGGGCATGCAGGAGGCAACCAATCCATGGTTCTCTCTTATCATGGCTATTTCTGTCTCTCCCTCTCCCTTCCTCTCTGAAATCAATAAAAAGATATTAAAAAAAAAAAAAAGAACACAGGAAGAGCTGTAGGTTTTCT